TCGACTGGTCGGCGCCGCTTGTCACACTCATCAAAACAACCTCACACAACACACATGCACACTCACTCTGAAAAAACACCATCTCAATCATCATACACCCTACAACTAACACCAAGCCACACTCAACATCCTCTCACACAATCGCACACACGCACACGCACACACAACACACACACACACACTTGCTTCTCCATTGGGAATCTCTACCGAACTACTCCGACCACCATATTGTTATAACTTGTGACCGCCGATTATTGTGCGCTCACTTATCGATCGGATCAATAACGCGTAAAACACGTGCGAGCCGCCTAGATTCCTGATTGGTCCTGCTTTCCGCCTAGCCCAGCCAATTAAGTCCAGAACACAAGTCTCAGCCTCTGCGATATGCATCCTTATATTACAAACATTCTGAGTTTATATACCAATCAAACAACCACAACGTACCAATATAATATGAAACAACATTTGTACAAGAATTAGCCAGATTTGGCTGTGAATGAGGCAGGTAGAAATTAATATACTGAGTATAACTCAAGAATGGTAGAACGTGTAATAATAGTTTATGGGTCAAAGTAAAGCTTGTAATAAGAGGAATATGAATATGCACACTTTAGTTAATTAATAATTATACAATAGAAATATACGTTTAGTATTGGTCCATACAAGGATCCCAAAGTTACCATTCATTATGCTTATCGGGGCAATAACATTAATACATCATCTTCACTGACCGATGCATTTAAAAGTCGCTCTAAAGTAAACAAGCTGATGTCATATGTTAGTTAATGCAAGAATACACCAAAAAGATATCCAACTGTTTTCTAAGGTTATAAAAGCTATAAGTTTTGAAAAATATGGTAATTTGTTTGCGAACTTTAATATTTAACTACCTACTTATCTATGAATATGATATCTGCACACTGCAAAACCTAAATGCATTGAGTGCTAAATGTATATGCTACCCCATTTAAGGTGTCAATTCTACTATTCGTATAAGAACTGATGAGCTTACTTCAATGTTTAATCTAAAGCTTGGAATGAATTGAAGTTGTTTCTCTCGATACTGGAAGTCAAGGGGTACTGCAATATACATAATATTATGTGAGTTTTTGCTCAATACAAAACCACGGACTGCAAAAATGGTAAAAACTATAAGCCTAAAATATCGCTGAGACTAATGCATAACGTTTTCACTACAGTTATCCTACGAAGATAATACTATATCTGAAGGGCTGATTTCCCTTCTTAATGCCAGAAAAGTGGTATGATGGTTTCGTTTGGTCAGGGAGAGTTGAAGTACACACTGGATTTCTGAATATGTTGCAACGGCTTAATTCAACATCACGATCAGTTCAATGACTACATCATTACTCTGTTTTTTTTTCAAGAAAATGAAAGGATCTCATGATTTAATAGTCCAGTATGGTTAGAATTCACAACAATAGAAGACGTAAAATAATGTAAATAAAGAATTGAACTTTTTGGATCTTCCAGAACATCATTTTGAATATCATGTATGTTCTATCAATGCAAGCACTATGTAGAAGTGTTAATTCGTTTCCTTTCTGTTGAGTTACTTACTGACATTATTTTGCACTGAATGGAAACCATAGAACAATATTTCTAGTAAAGCTTCTTAATTAGAATTTCATAAGATTCTAATTACAAGAACTAAATTGAATCTGATGCTAAATCTTCATGTAGTCCTAAAAATATGATAAAAGTGGTTGGTATTCAGCCAATCACACTAGATCTCGCAATGCATAACTAATTGTAAACTACACCTTATCACTTTTACACTACGGTAACTTCACTATGAAATGTATGAAAATAGTTTATCACACATGGTTGCTAATGCAAAAAATAGCGAAAAACGATAACCAAACTACTGTTGAGTTATTTTACAATTACGCTTATGGCATTCTGACTCATGAATTGTATTCATTTGAAATGTAGCGTACTGTAAGTGTCAAATTAAACCTCCGTCTTAACAGTAATGGTAAGATATTAAAAGCAGTTTTGGTCAACTCACAGAACATTAGTAGTTATTTTTAAGTGGATAAAATCTGATTGCTGAACTCATCACCTTAAATAGCTACTATGAAGAGAAATTAATGTCAAGAATTAAAAATAGTTCTTTTGTTATCTCATTTCAATCACCTAAAAATACCCAAATTATTTATGAATGAAAATAATAAACTAAATAACAACTTTCGTCTAAATTTGATCGATTAGTTTCACAGTATTTGGGTTAATGTGAGACATTAAAGAGGAAGAATGTAATTGTAGAACTCAGCGAATGAATTTGAAGTAAACCCAATGTTTCACCTGGCAATCTGGGCCAAGTTTTTTCAAGGAAATATAATCAAACATCAAATTTATCGAAGATAAATAGGTATATGATTCTCTGGTTAACTGTATACTTGAATAGGTCAGCCAATCAACGTTATCAATGATTAAAGTAGGTATTTACATTCGTGTGTAAGAGACATGTGGTGTGAAACGAAAAGTGTTAAGATAACAGGTTGTGTATATATAAATGAGAAGAAGAAATTTCATTCATTATTTATTGTGTTTGTAATGAATTCAACTGTACTATAGAATCATGCAAAACACAATGAAAACAGTAACAAATTATCAAGACATCAACTGGTAACACTTCATCATCATTTAATGACAAAACTTAATCTTATCGTAACGATGTAATACAACCAAAAATATTTATCTGCTTATCATAAATAATACCGATATTTCAAATGATGCATGCATGCATAATTGGGTTAATGGAATGAAAAATGACTGAGCAAAATGGTAAGCAAACACTAACACATCACGGACATCCAAAAGAGAAAGCTAGAGAAAATACTCATATCAGAAGGTTTGATAATTTTAACAAAGACGATTGAGATATCTATGGCCAATAAAATCCGATGGATCAGAGCTCAGTATATGTGATCAATTATGGACACACATACTCAACTGAAAGAATGTTCAAATCTTGGACAGAAAGAACACCAAGACTAGCAAATAATTTTTAGAAGCTTGCCATTCAGGTCAATCAGGAAGCATATAGAAATCAATCCAATTTATTAATCAATCAAAAAAAAATCATGAGCGAATAAAGGATCAAGAATCAGATCAGAGGACAATAGAATCAAAATAAAAAGGCAGATAATGACAGTTTAAAAGGCAACAAGAACCAATCAAGATCGATGTAGACAGAATAAGTTGTTTATCATATGTTGGAAGATTCGAATACATCACCTCTGCTTGAAGTTTGTGATGATGATGTTAATTAAAAAGACAATCACGTTTTACAGCTGTAAATCCTTAATGATGATAATTTACAAAGGCCGAAATAAGGCATTTATTAATGAATTTGACAATGTTAGAAATGATGAACGGTTGCATCTGTTACGACATATGTACTTCAAAATTATATTATTTGCAAATCAGAAAGGTTATTTAATAAAGGTCAGAATGATTTGGAGTAAAGTTTCCAGTAGAATAAAATGCATAGTAGGAGAATTTCATCTTGTCAATTGAGATGATGATGACAGTAGTAATAATAAGTTCATGGATTGGTTGAAGTTAGACATTATCACACCGGTGGTCTAGTGGTTAAGCGCTCGCGCGCTAGACTGATAGGTCATGAGTTCGAATCTCGCGGAGGGCAGGATCGTGGATGCGCACTACTGAGGGGTCCTACAATAGGACGAAACGGCCGTCCAGTGTTTCTAGGTTTTCCTTGTTGGCCTGGTTTCAATTGACTCATGATGTCAACCATTGAAATAATAATATGGTTTTGTGAATATAATATGTAATAAGAGGGGAGTTATCAACATCATTACGATAGAAAAAGGAATTATGTGAATTATGAATGATGGATATGAAGATTACGATAGATGTTATAAAAAAAGATGGGAAGGGGGTAATAAGTTTATAATATTAAGTTTACGTATCCGGTAATCTAGTTGTAGGCCAAGGTAAACATAGAGGCTGGATATACCTATTCTGGATACATAAGTTTGGTTTACTGGAGTTGATCCAAATGGCTTCAGCTATGTAGAGTAACCGTAATCTAGCTTCTTGAGGTAGATTTTTCAGAACTTGTCATAAAACAGAGAAAGCTTCCTCCATTTTGATATGATGTTCACTTTCTACCAAATGAGAAAGAATAGTGCTGTTGATCGATTTAGTAACTCCTTTTTCCGACCATGCTAGCACATGTTCACGAACGCGCAAGGATAAAGCCCTCTGAGTACAGCCTATGTAACTAGCTTCACAGGAGCAATTTATGAATTTCTTATTACTTTCTTATTACTTTCTTCTTACTTTTAAACCTTTAACTAGATGAAATCATTACTTAAAAAGGGAACTACTGATTTTTAATATAATCCGGCATTTGTTTGCAACCTTTTCTTTCGTTAATGTAGATAATCAGCAATAAGAAATACATTAAATGTATTTTAGATTTCGTAAAAATAATTATAAATCTAATTATAGCTCCAGCACAAATTATTCGATTTTATGGTGTAGAAGTGCATCATGCCTAGCAATTAATCTGTTTGTATTGTTATTATCCTCCACATAATCAAAGATTAGTTCACTTTCCATTATCATTTAGAATTAATATAAGCTAATCATGAATTACCCATTGAAACATTAAGTTTCTAACCTTGTTTCTTACTTTTATATGCTTATTTTGACTGAAAGATTGAATGACATTTTAAGTTTGGTATTCAGATGAATGATACAACACATATTTGTAGACTATTCATAGTGTTTTATTATTTTGAAACTGATGAAATATATTCCATGTTTTATAACATTTTGAAGTATGTTCAATGGTGGTCTAACCTTAATCAATTCATGGTCTCAATCATAAACTCAACAATCTCCACAACCTCATACTGATAAATGTATTTTTTTTAGTTTTTAATATTTATAATAAGTGAACACAAATATTTCATATTTGGGGATTGATGGAAAAATTTGGATCATTGAATGATTCTTGTGGCCTGAAAATGAATTAGAATATTGATGATGAGTAGTTCAAACAACTTATTATATTGATCATTGCTAACTATGCATCAGAAGGTGATTAACGAAAGTAAATACAATTTTTTAATTTGGATGTAAAGATTACATACCAGATGAAATTGGAAAAAAAATCAAAATTATACTGTGTCCTCTGTTAGGACAGCTTCCGAGAACTTCGACCAAGTCTTCAGAGGCCCTAAAAGAGCCGAAGAGTTTCCATCCATTCGGAACGTGATGGAACATTCTAGTGTATCAAAGCGCCATGCTACTATTAGACAGTAGTATAACATGCCTCTTTACGGATTGGCTGAATTACAGGTTGATATGACAAACGCTAATATCGAAAAATACCCATAATTTTCGGTACGTTTAGATTCGTAGCCAGTAGATTCGTAGGCACTTCTCCAGTCTTCTTATATCTTCTGATTTGCGACTATGGGGTTCTATACGTCTGAGTGCCGTAGTTGTACGCCGAATTTTGCGTTAATCAAGTAGCGAACTTAATATCCTCTATTTATTTAACTATGACAAGTTTCTTTTTATCTTATTACAGTTTGTAATAACAAAAACCTTATCAAAGACATAGGTTTATATTATCTTCGTTGCATCATGAAACATTTAGGTAGTTTAACAAAATGTAGGATATAAAAAGTGTAATTTAATGATCATAACTCCAATTATTTCAAATATATCCAAATCACTCTTGAAAAAGTACATTGCACGTTGTTCGTATTCCTGAAATAAAAAATGAATAGTATGTGGTAAGCTATAAAATGTATGGATCATCCCACAACTACATAGGTCACATTTGTCAGTAATTATAAAACCGGGTTCAATTATTTGAATAGAGTGTATTCCTGTATAAATATCAGGCTACAGTTTCGACACCCCTGAGATTTTTAAGGATGGCGACCCAGTATTGGCAGTGAGATTAACTGAGGTCTTAGGTAGAATTTGGGAACTAGACGTAATCCCATCTGACTGGTCTCAATCACTGATTGTGCCAGTTTTTAAGAAAGGACAAAAGTCCTCTTGTGACAATCACAGAGGAATCAGTTTGACTAATATGGTGTATAAAATATTAGCTTCAATAATACTTCAACGCCTAACCAAAGCTCGTGAAGAGCAGACTAGAGAAAATCAAGCTGTTTTTCGACCTGGACGTGGTTGTACAGACCAGATATTCACACTACGTCAGGTCCTAGAACACAGACACACATTCAGACGCCCCACAATGGTAGTATTTCTCGACCTTAAGGCGGCATTCGACTCTGTTGATCGTGAGGTTCTATGGCTGTGTTTGTCACTGAAAGGAGTACCAAAGAAGTACATTAACCTTATACAGGCTCTCTACTCGAACACAACTGGTAGAGTGAGAGCTTATGGCGAACTGTCATCAGAATTGATTACCTCAAGTGGTGTTCGTCAGGGCTGTCCACCAATGACATAGTTCTATTTGGTGAAGACACAGACAAAATGCGGAGTTTTTTAACCACTCTTAGCAACAGTGTAAGCATGTTCGGTATGAGATTCTCTCCCTAGAAAGGCAAAATGTTGCTTCAGGATTGGGTTGCATTGACATCCAAACTAATGATAGGGAGTGAAGTAATTGAGCGTGTCGATCGCTTCACTTATCTTGGAAGTCTCATCAGCCCTTGTGGTCTGGTGTGTGACGAAATCTCAGCACGGATACAGAAGGCTCAACTAGCATTTACCAACTTGCATCATTTATGGCTTAGGCGAGATATCCGTCTATCAACCAAAGGACGGGTTTACTGCGCAGCAGTACGTCCCGTCCTACTTTATGGTAGTGAAACATGGCCGGTAAGAGTAGAGGATATTCGTAGGTTACTAGTATTCTATCATAGGTGTCTTCGAAACATTGCTCGTATATCATGGGACCATCGAGTAAGTAACACAGTTGTTAGGAAACGGGTACTAGGTAAAGATGGCAAATCAATTGATGAAGTAGTGAAACTTCATCAGTTGAGATAGGTGGGACACGTGTTAAGTATGCCCAACCACTGAATGCCTCGATGTGCGATGTTTTGTTGTATAGGAGTAGATTGGAAGAAAGCTAGGGGCGGCCAGACCAAAACATGGCACAAGTCCATAAAGTTATTGACAAGTGGACTGTCATGTTGGTAGGTGTATCCTTCCTGTTTGGGGACCGCGAGATGATAGTAACCGATGGTTAGAGACCCTGAATAACGGCTCAAAATCGTTTGCAATGGTGCAGGTGCATCCTCTCTTTGTGTTCTTCCAAATTCTAATCTTCTGAATTCTTCATGTCCCTTATTTTCTTTCCAAATTTAATTCATTGGATTATACTCTTTGAATAACATCTTCAAACCCTAAACTTTCCGATTACTGCTTATACTCTTACTACCTCTACCATTACAGGATTGAATCGACAATTGTATCTCTGTGCAAATATGGTATGGCGACTCGAACTGATGTACGTACGTACGAAGTTCTACGCTGTTGCTGACTGACTGTCTGACTGACAGTTTCGATACAACAACACAGGAAATTATGTTAGTGTTTGAGTAAATCGTGTTTTTTTTCTATTTATCTTGACGTTAGTAGCTTCAAAACATCATTTCAGATGATCTTTGTATATTTATGATAAACTATCAGAAATCACAATATAGACTAAACTATATTTTTAAAAATCTCTCATTAAGATGATGTATTCTGACGAAAGAAACATTATAATTCTTTTTTTGAACTTCCATCATCATTCTCTGTTTGAAAGAGTAGATTCTTGTCCATAGATCTTATAATCATCTACACATTTTTTATGGTTGGAACTTGGTAAACACTTCATACCCTTACAATATAGGATTTTGCTAACATTATTATTATACTACTTATAATCACACAACCTCATATTGGTTTCTACGTTCTAATGATTGACACTCATATTTATTCTGTTTATAGAATTCTAGAAATTCTTCCCTCCGATCAAACCTCATTGTGATTATATTTTGGTGAAAAGACAATTTGCCCTAAGGTAAACTACATATTTCTTTAATTTTTTTTAGTTATGTCTACAATATGACAAACCTTATAAGTTACAAAACCATCGAAATCCATAGAAACTCAGCCAAATAGCAATATATAGTAATCATAGTTATTTAACTAACCTCTTCCGATGCTTAGTTCAACTATAAATAAAAATGTTCAATATGTTTAACAAACTTGCTACCAATTCGAATACAAAAAGTGGGTAATTTTATTTGTTATCGGAAGAGGGTTTTTTGAAGTTCACTAGCCTATATAAGCTATACCGCCATCGGAAACCTGAAAGCACTGGATGGCCGTTTTGTCCTATTGTGAAACTGCTCAGCAGTATGCATCCACGAACCCGCCTCTCGAGATTCGAACCCAAGACCTATCAGTCAATTATAAGAGTCAATTATAATCTAATACTCTATGATAGGTTTTAACTTTACCTAAATGCAATCGATTAAACCGTAAGACGTTTTGTGATTTTTTAGTTATCATCTCTAATTGAGGCTTAAACATTCGATATCTTGTTAATATGGAACTATTACAAATTTAGTTATTCATCACCTACATATATATACGACTAGTTATTATGGTAAGTATTATTATTATTAGCTTTATGCAATATTATATTCTTGGTATAACATAGAATTCCCAGCACAAAGTATCTCAGCAAGTATCATACTCATTGGTCAATCCAGACGATAAATATTGAGTGGTCACCAGTCAGTAGTTAGAGTTTCAGGAATCGATATCCGAATAATGTACACTCTTTTCGATGCATATTGCCAAAAATCATGATGTAACTTGTATAACGAAAGGTTGTATACTTTTCATAAAGGCACCTGATTAGATTAGCTGAACAACAAACATAATGGTTTGTCAAAACCAATAAGGAACTAGATAACTTGTTGAAATATCTAGATGACAAGAGCAGGTAGCCCAGATATTCAAGCAGGCCACCAATCAACTTCTGAATTACTTACGTGGAAAGCTAGAATAAACAGTGTAAAAAAGTTCGTAATTTTGCAGCAAGAAATTTACACAATATAACTTATTATTGTACAAGAAACTATTTCTGTGGTTCGTTCATACATTTATACAAAAACATGTTCTGATTATAAGTATATCTTATCTTCATTAATATAATCCCTCTTGAGTTAGAAAAAGATATTTTGGGGAACTTTATTGCAATTACACAATCAAATGTTATGATACTGGGAGTTTTGAAATTTCGATGGTCAACTTTCGGTTTAGACCTTTAATTAAGAACTACTTATCAATAGATTTCTATTGTTTTGTGTATTGTTAAACATTAAATCGATTATAAGAATGCGGATTTGTGGAGATTGTAGTAACTTTAACAATTAAATTCATGAGTCGATCTATGATTGATCACCACTAAATACCTGAAAGAACTGGACGGCCATTTTGTTACTGGGCCGTCCAGTTATTTCAGGTATTTAGTGGTGATCAATCATAGATCGACTAATGAATTTAACTGTTAAAATTAAATTAATTATCTACACATGTTTCGTGTTTCAGAATAAATATATAAATCTAGAAACGAAATTAGAAGCTTGTACGTCAGTTTTACACGAATTGGTTTCTTCGAAACTGATTAAGCATTTTTAGAGAAATTCATCTTGTATTGGTTGTTTCAATATTCCCCTTGATTTTTACGACTGCAATTGATTAGTCTCATATTGGCATATGTGGATCCTGAACGGATTGCTTCGATATTACCTTAACTCACAAGTATTATAAGCCGAGATGAATGCTGGCTAGCAGTGGAGACCAGGATGCGTATTTCGTCACACTCATTACTCGTCAGCTGGATGTACTTGCTGCATCCCTAGACTAAGGGGATAACACGATAGTGTTTGAAGAGAGTGGTACTGAGTGCGAGTCCTGAAGTGAAGATCAACTCTGGGATGGAGTTGTATCCAGATGATAAGTCCCAAAAACAACGAAATGCGCGTCCTTTCTTCTTCTGCTAGCCAAAATTCATCTTTACTTTTAAAGTTTAAGAAGATGTACAATTCTTATGGTTTTCAAATCAATGCATTTTGCTTTACATATACTAGCAAAGTAGCATAATTATATAATCGTTGTCTTGTTAACTTACTCAGGCTGAAACGAAAAAAATTATTTTAATGATTAATTATATAGTTATATCACTAATAATAATCCGAATCAATGTACCGTAAACTGATTATTGTATAACGTAGTTGTTGGTGCTTGTTCTTTGACAGTGATATTTTAATTAGCATATATGACATAAATATCATCAGTACTTACGAAACGGATGTTCTGTAGAGTTAGAAAAAAATTGGTTCAATAGACTAATTGTAAAGTTGAATAAATATTTGTTGAATCAGTTTTCTTTTATATGATGTCTGTAAAGTAGGATACAGTAACCAAAATATATCTGGACAACAATTAGATTTTTGTTCAAAGAACAAACTATGAGTTCCATTACTTTTCTTCATGTTCATAAGTGTAGAAGAGATGTATATAATTTATGAACAGTTTATAAAGTTATACTGATGCAGATGTAAAGGTAAGGATTGACAAAGTAAGGACAACATTCCTATAATTGAAAAACATGGAAATCAAAACAACTATCGTATGTTATAGATCTATCTGAATAGGCTTTTATTAAGCTTATTTGATCACCTCGATTTCGACATCAGGCTAACCTCATGAATACCAACTAATAAAATCATGATTTTTTAGTTATTGTTAAGTTAAAATGCATTTAAACATGCTTAGGTTTATGACATTGATTGTGTATATACTAGAAAGAAGTCTGACAATCATACAGTATTTCACAGTTAACAGAAATGGTGATTAAATATTTTGTAGATATTAGGCTAAATGATAGAAGCTTAATTATTTGAAACCCTATAGATTATATCTAAGTTGTTGAAGTCGAAATTGGCTAAACAACGGCATAAAAATAGCCATTAGTTGGTAATATAGATATATTTTTATATATAAGCATTTAGTTGAATATCTCTGCTTACAACACTGTGAATGCTTTGCTTAGCATTTGTATCTAATTGATCAAAGTCAAATAAGACCAATGTCTATATGTTACAAATATTTATCAATATCCTTTGATACATTTACGACAATTCACTGAGACAATGATTAAAAACCCTCAACTGATCAATCGCAGTCCTAAAAATCAGTGGGAAGGTTCAAATAAAACAATACCAAATGAATTAAACTTCACCCTATTGCTTAAGCAAGTAGTTATGAGGACTCAATAGTTAACTGGACAACGTGATGGTGTTTGAAGCGAACGGTACTGGGTTCGAGTGTCAGGGTGAACACCAAATCTGAGATGCAGGTACATCCAGCTGACGAGTCCCAAATAAATTGAGACGCGCGTCCTGTATTCCACTGCTAGCCACTTTCCATCTTTGCTCATTATATAAATGTCTTAACATAAATGAACAATTGATGGATAAAATATTCGTTTAAAACTCATATAATTAAAAAAACGAGGATTCAGGTGGGGAAATTACTGTGCTTCTTGAAACCACACATTATTTGCACATCCACCTTCAGTTGTCCTTTACATACCCACTTATTCCTCTAGTTCTGTTGTTATTACAATTGCTCTTTGTTTGCTTTCTTATTCCCTTTACTACAATCATCTACTAGCAGGCATTCCAATCATGATTGTTGCTACATACTACTTATATCTGTCAGCATAAGTAGCATACACCACAATATAACAATATTTTTGTGCGGTTGTAAATTAACTTTTAAGACAATAAAACTTTCTCTAGCCCATTCTACTTACGTCTTGTCAACTAGACCCACTATAATATTGAAGAAAATTGAAAGTATCAACAATAATATAGCATACATCAGTACATTATAGAAAGCTTACATATAAATCCTTTTGAATTACAACTTATAAAATAAATAAGAATATACTTTATGGAAATCACCATTTTAAAAAAACGCTGTATAAATTAATAGGTGTGGTAATATGAAAACTATTTTTATGACCTATGAATATGAACTACGTAATTTTGTTCATTTTACTAAACACATTAGAAGTAAAGATGGATAGTGGCTAGCAGTGGAATCCAGGACGCGCGTTTCCTCTTATTTGGGACTCGTCAACTGTATATTCCAGTATCTCAGAGTTGGTGTTCACTTTGGGACTCAAATCCAGTACCCTTCACTTCAAATGCCATCGTGTTTTCCACTTTATCCTAGGGTGAAAATCAACTCTGAGATGGAGGTACATCCAGCTAACGAGTTCCAAATAAAACGAAACGAGCGTCCTAGATTCTACTGCTAGCCATTATACATCTTTGCTTATAAAGTGTATGGTTTGTAATTTGGAATATAATGTATTTTCTTGTGAGATATCAACTCTCAGCACTGTTGAACAATTTATATCTCTGATTATTTATGCTTTATTCGCAGGAATTTCATGTTAACATAGGGGGTTTATATAAAGTGAATCTTGTTACTGAACAAAACCTGTATATTTTTAATCTTATCTGCACAAAGCAGAATGTACAACTTGTATGGAAAGTTGTTGAATGCAGATCTTTCATTCATTTTTAGGTTGTAACTTACTACTATGCATTTATACGAAAGAGAATTCAATATTTTGTTTGCAATATGTCTAATTGTGTATAAAGATACAATTCAGTGATTGATATTTATCATACTATTAAAAGAAAATAAATCAACTATAATAGTCTTGTACATTACTACACATTACTGGCTATTTCAATGTATAAAATGACAATTGTTATGTAAATAGACATTTTATATTGTTCACTTAAATATGGGACACACCTAACTAACAATTGTGATAAACAGAATAATCAAAGTATAGAATGATTACAAAGCAAAACCTCTGTGATGTGTACATCTTCATACATGTGTATACTATGTGTTTATTGTTTATTTTTGTTGTGTTTTTTACTGTACTACACCAAATGTTGCTCCTGTACTTCATCAATTCAATCAATAGAATACAAGAAACTTACAAAGTCTTTGATTTTGAAAAGAAACCAAAAAGAATAACCGAATTTGATTATCACCAAGATAATAAAGATGGGAACATTATCAAAAATTACATTTTTCCTATGCAAATTTACCTGTTTCAAAATGAATACCTACTTTATTAAACAATCAGTAATAATAGTCTAAATTCAATTAATATTGTTTACTTGAATCCTCCAATTGATGTTTATGACTGCAGTTGATCATTCTGTTAGTGGTATATGTATATCCCGTGCGTATTGCGTCGATATTGCCTTAATTCCCAAGCATTATATATGAAAAGATGTATAATGGATAGCACTGAAATTCAGGACGCGCGTTTCGTGGCTATCAAGACTCAGTAGATAAGTGGATAACTTAATGGCGTTTGAAGCGAACGGTACTGAATTCTTGCCACAGAGTGAACATCAACTCTAAGATGCAGGTACATTTAGCTGATGAGTTCCAAATAGATTGAAACGCGCGTTCTGGATTTCACTGCTAGCCACTATCCATTTTTGTTTAGTAATAATAGTCTGTTTTTCAAATACTCTTATAAGCAAAATGATGGTTATTAGAATCTCTCAATATGCTTTATTAGCTGAATATCAAAAACATTCAGGTACTATGTATAGAAAAACCCCAAAAGTCGCATTTCGGCTACATCGACTAAAATATATTGTGACATTTACATTGCACGGGCATATATGAGAAGTATATGTATATTGTGTTAGTTGTCCAACGCATAATATTTCTTTCTGATATAAACCGAATTATATGCATATCTTTAACGATAATATTTGTCACCGAGGCATTGGTTTCATTATCATTTATGGTATATATGTTATAAATTACATACATCTGATTTAGAACACAGATATACGAATGAACATGTTAGGACCCGAGCTATACCCAGCAGATTAATTATTGATTGATATGATGGAAAGAAAAGCCAATTTTCGACTGAATTATTCATTATGAGTTTTATTCAACATTCAACATCCGTTTTGATTCAACATGAGGATCATTCAGTGTAGTATTTGATTTGTTTTCCCAGTATGATATTTTCTCGTATTCAGTTGACATGAACTATTCTCATTAAGTGATTTGTTATAACTGAGTATGTGATCTAATCCTAATTATTAATCAAAATGGGTGTACAATCAATATATAAACCAGTGTATTTTAGACTATATTCGATTCATCATTGTCATAGTGTTTGGGGCTAATAAATCTTCACTTATACCAGTCTTGTGTTCTTACTTTCGCATCGCGAGAATTGCCGTGGTCCCTCGTTCCGAGTATAATTGATCAGCGTTTTTGTTTTTCCGATACAACAAAACAATATTCGTTTCAAGTAATTCTTATCAGATTTTACAATTGTGTATTCAAAATAATGATCCTGAAAGCGTCCATATTTAAGTCATTTAAGACATTTAAAATTGTAGCATATTAATCTAGAGATTGTTTACAAAACACCATAAAATTGTTGATGTGTGTTGATGACCGCTATGAAAGTTAAATCTGATTGTGTTTATGATAAATAAAATTGTAAGATAATTGATTAATATAAAGATGGGTAACAACAAGGTAACGCCTACAAATTGAAAATGATGTACCCAGTGAAATGTTAACGCTAAAGTTGTACAGAGCAATTCAAAGAATCATCAATGCAGTGAAACTACATTTAATGTTTTCTACATATCCAATGGTCACTGAAATATTGAAAGATAAATTAACTAGATTAAACCCTTCTTTCAATATTTATCAATTCAACTGATCATATCAAACAAGTTATATTGGCAGAAGTTCTAGGAACGTGTAGTTTTGTCCTCACGAGCATCTTCCATTACGGTCAAGTTAAAGCATAGTTAAAACTGTCAATACATTGATTCTTGTTCATTTAGTACAAACGAGTCATACAGACTATATGTAGTAATCAGCTATAGTAGTATATCGTGTTAACAGTTATCTACTCAAATCCATTTAACTTAGAATCCTCCAAACGGACGAAGTAATACTTATTTAAGTGAAAAGTCGGAGCTGTGAATTCGAAAGAAATAAGGTCAACTGTTTGTTTTACCTTGGCCAACTTCTGACCTAATTAGATAACAATCATGTTGAGAATATGGTAAAGTAATTTTGTGGTGTATGCTACTTATGACGACAGATATAAGTAGGATGTATAATCAATAGAAAAAGAAATACCTGACGGCAGAACGTTAAGATCAAAGAAAAAAGAGAACGAGAATAGAGAATGATTGGTACATGATTCTTCAACAAATATTCCTTTCGATTTGGAATTATATTATTATCTCTTTCATCATATGTCACGCATCTTTATTTTGACTTTTAATCTTACAAGTTCATTTAACATATGAACTCAGATTAAAATTTCATATTAGTCATCTCTACATTAATAACCATCTTGTATCATTTTATAAATAATCCTAAGTTCAGCTAATGAGTCCCAAATGGGACGAAATACTCATCCTGGATTCCACTGCTAACCGTCATTCATCTCTGCTTATAATATCTAAGCAATCCGTACAAGATGTATATATGCCAATAAGAGACTAATCAATTGCAGTCGTAAACATCAATGGGAATATTCAAACAACCAATACAAAAATAAATTAATCATAATTTCATATAGTACAATTTCAAATGATGTATTTGCCTTAGACCTGGCCAATTTTATGGATTATTAATTTAGATACTTAATTGCAGAGTCCGAAGAGAATTTATTGAAAACAATATCTGGTTTAATTCATAATGCCGATGTCCTGAGATACTTTTCACAAATAATTTGTATCAATCAAATAATCTTTTCGATAGAACAATGAGAAGACAGAGTTGATCAACTCCGTTTTAAACATGATACATTTTCAACGGATTGTAAGATCACATCAAGGATTTTTACTTACTTTTGCATGAACTCGCCTAAAATGTTGAAATGCAAATACATTAATATTTAATTTTAATAGTTGAAATCATGAGCCAATTGAAGATAGATCACCACTGGAAAAGCTGGAAACACTGGACAGCCGTATCGTTCTACTGTGGGACTTTTCGGCAGTGCGCATCCACGACCTCACTTCGCGGGATTCAAACTCAGAACCTATCAGTCTCGCGCGCGAGCGCTTAATCATTAAACCAGTGCTTCCAGGTTTTCCAAGGTAGATTCAACTGACTCATGATTTCAATTAATAAAATTACTATAATATCCACAAAACGCCTTCTGACATTAATATTTACTTAGATAACCAATGTCGAAACTTATATCATCTAAGTTTACACTGAAAATATTTCACAAAGGCTATTTAGTGCTGTATACTGAATACTCAGGATAACGTGAATAGATTCATGTAATCATTATTTAGTTAACTTATAATCAATAATCAATCAATCTTAAACCGTTAGTAACGAGGTCAGTTTGTTTAAACTTTTGGCCATTACTCAGATTCATTAAGATACTAACGAAATCAAGCATCTTATCAAGGTTTATGTGAACGATTTAATGGGTATTAGTTGTTATTCTTGCTTTTCATAAAAGAAAATCTGATAAGATCCTAGGCATTATGCGTAGATTTACAGTACATTATTCGCATAGTTTGAGTTTTTGAAGAAGTAACACTTCTTCACCATAGCCTGAGGGTTGATAATCATCAAATATTGATCAAATTGAGATCATTTTAAAATTATATGATTCATAATACATTATGGACGAATTGTAAATCATCACTTTGTTTATGTTTTAGATTGTTGTTAAACTACGAGTCTAATCGTATTAAGTCATTTCTTTGAGACAATGATATTAATATGTAGTGTTAGATCCAATTAATCATAAAACTGCTTTCGAACACCGATTGTGTTGCACACAGTTTGTTATAGTTTACTGAATATTACATATTCGTCATAAATGAAAATATCTCACTATAAATTTAGAATTCTATCAACGTATCATTAATATACAGATTATAACTCTGTCTCTAGCAGCATTAGGATAATTTGGTAAAGACATTTGTGCGAAGAGTCAATTCAGAGTTACAGACTTCGTAGTAAAAGTGTTTTATTAAGTATTGCTCTAAAAATCTACATACGGTTTTAAAAAAACGTCTGCAATATGTAACTTTAATGCATTTACTTTGAATGTTTACACCACTATACTAAGATTCAGATACATGAAAAGGGATAAGTAACTGTTTTTCTGATTTTTCAATTAATTTGGATATTCAAACTCAACACTTCATGATACCTGCGTCTTCAAACATACCTAGTCAAACAGATTTATCAATTTTATTCTGACCCAGACAATAAAGCTAATGTTATGCGTAAACGAGTTAATTTTATTCATCTCAATTCGATTCATGATGGTACTAATGGATCATAATTAAACATGTTGGATTAATCTTTTCGTCGAAGCAAAATGTTGTTTAGCTAAGATTTAAGTAATGTGTAAAACAAACACTATAAACCTCATGGAAAATCAATCTCAGTCGAATCCTAAAGAACATGTTTAATTGACTACAGCGGTTTCTTATAAGCATAATACATATTTAAAGATTTTATTTTGAACTGACTGAGACGGTACTGGTAGATTGAAACACTACCGTTTATTCAAAGAACAGTCAATGATTAATACTAATCTTTCTTACTGTGAGAACCGAAAACTTTTGTTAGCAGACCTAAAAGACAATGCAACAGAACAAAATACATAGAGCATTATTTTATTATTTAGATTAAAGGAAGGAATGCAACAGTGAAAGTCTTATTTATTCATTTTAACTATAGCATTCAGTTAACGATTTGCTCATACAATTAATAATAATAAAAGATAAAATACTTTGCATAAGTAAAATTCACCAACAGTATATTAGCAAACTACTTCTAAAGAGTCAAGTAATTTAGTAATAGTAATCTTGAATAAGATAATAATCTAAAAAGCCTAGTTATAATTTCAACAAACTCCTGTTTTGTCAGATAATAATCTTTCAACGATAATGATCTGTAAACTGTTCGTTTTAATCATCGGAATGGGGGTTGTGGAGAATGTTGCGTTTTTTATTGAGATCATGAACAAATCAATGTTAGACTATCACCGAAAACTTTCAAGCACTGGACGACTGTTTCATCCTAGTGTGAGATTCCCCATAAGTGGGCGTCCACGACACCGTATGAGGGATTCGAACCAAGGACCTTTGGTCTCGCGTGTGAATGCTTAACTTTTAAACCATTGAGCCGGCATACAATGGTGTTAATAGTTTAATATTGACTATTTTGAAATGTGATAAGTTAAAATTTAGGTTTGTTCTCAGATATTTTCTTAGTCGCCAATTATTTGGAACACTGTAATAATATAAGTTTCTATAATTGATTTAACATACAAAATAATCATCCAGATGAAATTATGAAACTTCTTAAAATGAAAGAATGTTTTATGTATTTAGTAATTCTGTCGTACAAACATTTGGCGCCATGAATTTCTTTCTCAACCATCTGACTTTAAACAAAATAATACAAAAGAGTAGTGAACATATAGTGCTCAATAGTTCTATACTAAGATGAATTAGCTTTCTTGCACTGGATAGTTTAAAATGGTTGTTTGATTAATGTGATTGAACAAAATAACACTACAAATTGAGTCCTGACATCGTTTCGAATTAGATTTTCATAAAAATAATATCAATGATTAAGATCATGAGTCAATTGAAGCTAGACCACCATGGAAAACCTGAGAGCACTGGACGGCCTTTTCGTCCCGGTGTAGGACACCTCAGCAGTGCGCATCCACGACCTCGCCCTTTGCGAGATTCGAACCCAGGACCTACTGGTTTTGCGCGCGAACACTTAACCACTAGACTATTGAGCTGGCTGGCATCCAAAGTTGCTAATGTCTAACTTCAACTAATCCACGAAATTGAGCGACACACTCACCATTATCTTCAGTGAGTTACTATCTCACAACAGACCTGGTTGAACTCCACAGGTCACTACTTCTCACTTACTGAGGAGTCTCACAATAGGACGAAACGGCCGTCCAGTGCTTCCAAGTTTTCCATGGTGGTCTAGCTTCAACTGCCTCATGATCTTAACCATTGAAATTACTACAATCTCCACAAAACCTATCTGATATAAATAATAGTTACAAAGTATTTTACAACTTGTCTACATAAACTGAACAGTCGAACTTACTAAGCAAATAAATGAACCAGTCACGAAGTCTGGTAGTCCCTGTATCAAAAATAATTAATTTTAAGTAATAATTATTTATTTTGTTCAGTTCAACTATAGTTCATTAACATCTCTGGATTATAGTGTAAATCAGGCTTTAGTAAAGCCAATAAATATGGGCTATTTCATGCCTCAACAGAGTTCTAATTGTGATGTGTACATTGTGAACGTTTACCTACTTTCATACACAAGTGTATGTTTAACCTCTTTAAAATATTACAATTCATAATTCGATGAATATAAAAACAATCTGACAGATCAAAGATCATTCACTTGCTGAATAGTATAAATCATCACAAAACTTATCATTACTATCAAAAAATGAAAATGTGTTTGCTTGTTATTGATAAAATAGATACTACTTTCAAGGGGTTTATCTTCACATGACATGAAGATCTACTAACACAGAATTCAGTATCAAAAGGTGTTTTGTTTTTCATCTTTTACTTCATACAAACTTTTATTCCAGTGAAGATAATACAATCGAAACTATATTGATAGGTTAACACAATCTGTACTAAACAAATCACAACTGTCTCATAACTTAATTAATAATAGGATGTAACGGCCGTCCAGTGCTTCCAGGTATTCCATGATGGTCAAGCTTCACTTGACTAATGATCTCAACTATTAATAGTTATTATTTCATAGATATATTTACAATGTTAGATTTAATTGAATACAAATACAAGCACTTACAAGACCTAATCAAATAATAAGTAAAAGAAAATACCAGTTATTTACAGTCGATATACCTTTAATAGTTGCTCGCTCAAAATATTCTTAACGTATTCGTTGTATTTAATTCATTTGACTTATGTAAAATCATTGATACATAATCAAACGGTCAATAATAGGCTGTTATTAGAGGTTATAATAGTCAAAACAGTACTATTAGTATAATACCAATATCGTCTCATGTATTGATGTAGGACTGAGTAATTATAATCATGTAATACAAAACGTTACATGAAGTCAAGGTCATAGTTCACTTACCCTGGACTCTCAGTAGGTGTAACTACAGCTGAAATTCCATTATTGAATAAAATACCAGTTAATAAACTCCAGTAAACATTATTTCTTTACGTTTGAATATTGTTAAAATGTAGCTATTATATACACATATAGTGAACATTTATAATTTAACTATAATTTCTTAATGAAACCATCATCATCAAATGCGTTATACACTTATTAAACTTCTGTGTTAAGTAATTAGATTTTTACATAAATCCGATTTTCGACATCATATGTTGTTAGGCTTAGGTTATTATTACCTGATCGTTGAACAAACAGATGTGATATATCTCTTTCAATATTCTTTATGACCCTCAAATGCTCTGGTGCAACCGAGAGTGGAGAGAGCCCGCTCTTCCTCTCGAAATCTCATCACATGGTCACGCTCATACAACCACTACCAGGGAAGTCCTACTCACTAACTCGTCATAGTGGGGGTGTTGTTTATGAAATTGAGAGGATGAAAAGCGAATGTCCGGCGATTAAACCGGGTTGGTGAACACAAGTGTTCACCTAAGAGAGTTGGGAAACCATGATTCCGAACCAATGATGGGTTCCAGGATCCTAAGAAAACAAATCGTGTATGAACCAATTACTGGCCATCGGCTACCATAGGATTGTATCTCCTCATGATGCTCCAGTGCCTTGTGAATCAGACCTTCATGTCGAAGGCTCGATGTATGGCCCTCTTAGAAAACCACCTGCTTCGGTCCGGGCACCTGGGCAATATGTCAGCCCTCACACAAAGTGGATGATTTATGTGGCGCATATCTATTTGGTACCTCCTTGTATCAATGTTTATATATTTAAATAAATAAATGAGTGCATGTACATTGAATTAATATTAACCCAGTAGTCTTAGCTAATGATGAATTAATCGCTTACATAACAATGATTATAATTTGTACATATACATATATAATATAGTAATTTAAATGTTGTAGAGATAAAAGTACTCACATGTACTGGATAGGTGATTAGCAAAAACAGTTATCATGAGTTAGCACTACTTCAGTTTGAACTGAAGTAATCATGATCTCACATGTTTTTAGAGTTTACTGACGTATAGTACAATATCTAGTGATTATAATAACATTATGTAAAAGACCAATACTTTAATCACCATATAACTGTATTGGCGGTCGTTTAATATTGTTAGATTTGTTCATTATTTCTACGATATCACTAAACGTTTCTTTTTACAACAGCACATACATTTCACTGGCAAATATTTTGAAGCTCCGTCTTCCTTTCTATTAATTCATACATTTGGGGTATAATTAGCATATAATTCGGATATTGATTTCACAAATTCATAGTCATAGACGAATGCTTACAACCAAAGAATGAAATTCAACCAGTGTATAGTACGCAAACATTTAACCCAAAATAGGGAACAGTGGATAATTGTTCAAGCATAGTTTCAAAACTTTTAACACTGTGCGCTGAGTAACCTAAAGTGAATAAACTCAAGACTTTCTAGTAATTCGATTTAGATCACTGGGTCACTGATGAAACAAACGGTTGTTGATTTTGCAATGAATAATTTCAAGAAAGGTCTTAACATATTTGAAAATCGGTGGTTTGGTAAAAAGAACAATGGTTTATTATTGAAACACTGAAATGGCTCTGTATATACATAATGGTAATCTAGTTTAATTCATGTCTCAGTATAATAAACGTTAAATCAAGAAACCTATTGAACGTTGCTCATTTTCCATCTTTCGACGCTGACACTGAAATATACAATGTTGTTCGTCATGTATTGGTTGACAGATAATGAAGGTAAAAATGACTATTGGTTTAGAAGAGTGTGGCATTCTGGTTACGAATATAGTTCAGAAAGATTGTTACTGAAATTCTGAATACTTGATTGTGTCCAAAAAAGTTGAAACCGATGAATTTGTCATACTTAACGGAAGTATGTTAGGAGCGCAAAAGTAAAAGAAGGATATCTAAGGAGCTATTTTATTTAACTGTAGTAGATGTTTTGAATTTAACATAGAGAACTCAAGTAAAGACATGTTATAAAGGTTCTTGATCGTACGGCAGATATACTTCAACCCACCACAGTATACACAGATGATGTATAGTTGCTTTCAACTGTATGGACAGTACCATAAATCTGTTATTTATAGGGGTTCCTCCATGGACTCTGGTAGAGGAATTCGACCTTAATATATCAAGATGACGTGAAGTAGTCTGCAAAGTTTTACTGCCACCGTATAAATACCTCCAATGTTGGCTATTACGAAGCCACATGAATTGGCTTTGCATAAAATCTTTTAGTACATAAATAGAAATACCTTATATAGTTCTTACAAAACTGTATTTTTATGATGCAAGATTTATATATTTCATGTAAATTCCTATGTTTAACTGACCAGTTATGTAAGCTGCTTTCGAATATATACTTCCAAAATATATGAACTTCTAAAGTGACCTCAGCCAACTAAATGATAATTTCTATCATAGCGAAAGTTTTTAGATATCCACTGGGTGATTTTAATAGTTAAAAGTGATCTATTAGAGAATGAGTAAAAATACTATTCGAAACAGTTTCATTATTGATTGAGATCTTGAACCAATTGATGTTAGACAACCATTGAAAACCTGAAAGCACCAGACGGCCGTTTTGTCCTATTGTTGGGCTCCTCAGCAGTGCACATCCAGTGCTTGTAGGTTTTCAATGGTAGTCTAACATCAATCGGTTCAAGATCTCAATCAATAACATAATAATCTCCACAACCCTATACTGATGGTTTTATTATTATCAGGCCTATTAATAAAGTGAAAAATCTGAAATATTGTGACAAAAGAGCTTCCAATAAATCAATCCTTACTGTACTTACGCTGAATATGAGCCTATTGTAAACATAAAATGAAATGATTGACAACAAATAAATTGAAGTAATTCAAGTTTTAGATTAACTGTATTATTCGTGAAATTTCTGGAAAATTGATTTAACAGTTGAAATCATGAGTCAATTGAAGCTAGATCACCTGGAAGCACTGGCGCTCGCGCGCGAGACTGGTAGGTCCTAGGTTCGAATCTCAAGGGAGGCGGGATTGTGGATGCGCACTGCTGAAGAGTCCCACAATAAGACGAAACGGCCATCTAGTGTTTCCAGGTCTTCCATGGTGTTCTAGATTCAATTGACTCATGATTTCAATTATTGGAATTACTAAAATCTTCACAAACCCCTTTCTGACATTGATTTAAATGTAAATAATATATTGAATATAGTGAATATTAGATATTTGACTTACTATCACTCATATTTATGAGGGCCTTAGGACCTAAAACACAAATGCATGATCTACATGAAATCGAATTTGATAAATACGTTTGTTCGAGACAAAAAATTTTAATGTACTCCATCGACTCATGAGAAATCGCCTGCAAAATTTTCTACAACTGAACTGTTGTACAGGCTTATAATCTCATTGTTAAGGTGTTACAACTTTTATGATCGACTTTTCTAAACTGAGTACAAACTTGTGATATAACTAAAAGATAAAGAACAGCTGTATCCATATGTTGTCATTTGAAAATGTCAACCTTGGAATAGTAAAAATAGATCTTAATAACTCAGAAATATTAGAAAATTCAGTAAAGTTCAGAATTGCTTTCAAGTTAATAAATTGCCTCAAATGTTATATCATAATTGGCATCGAATCTTATCGCAGTTGTTTCAAATGATTACTTGTCGTTATCAAATCATAACATGCTCAAACTGGTTACTACAACGCTTATTTTAACTACAAAATGACTTAAGACCAGTAAGGTAAATCAAATTTCAAAATATACTTCAAAATGTAAAAATATAGGTACGTATAAGAACATCCATAATATGTACAAGTGTTATGTCCTAATGATATCCATAGGTTTATCAAGCTGCAGATGTTTTTTTTCAGTTTCAAGGGAAAGCAAACTTGTGGTTCTTTTTCAATTGTACATCTTTAGGACTTACAAGTAATTGTATAGCAAATATATTACAAGTAATTGAAGAGTGAATGTTTACTTGGTGTTTTGGCAGACGAATGAGCATATCCTTGTAAAATGCCTAAAATCATAAATATAATAGAATATCAAGCATTTGCAGTATAAATTATATTGACTTATACATTTCAAATCATTTCCAATATCCAAAATCTTTTACAAAATGAGACAGCTTTACAGTAGTTCAAAAGATATTTCAAACAGGATACCGAGACGTAAATATCAATCATTGTTAATTGTAAATTCATTCGAACATTTAGTTGATGCTCAATCTAACATTTAACGTACAGTATTTATCTGGTAGCTTCTTTACATTGTTATTAACATCTTATTTGTCATTTCAAAATTTTTCCTTTCAGCAATGCTTTGAGTACGATACTGAATAAAAGTGACATTCGGAAAAACAAGAATATTTATCAGTGCTTTAACTAATAAGGATGCAAGATGAATAGTGTTGACACTTTTCCATAGTAGGAAAGAATCGAAAAGTGGATATCGAGACTCAGTAGCTAAGTAGATAATGTGATGGCTTTTGAAGTGAACGGTATTGAATTCGAGTCCATGAATCAACATCAACTCTGAGATGCAGGTACATCCAGATGACGAGTCTCAAGTAAGATGAAACGAGCGTTATGGATTCCACTGCTATCCATTATCCATCGTTGCATATTATGCTTGTCGATTAAGGTTATATCGAGGCAATACGCACAGTATGCACGTATGCCAATTACAGACTGATTAATTGCAGTCCTAAACAAACAATGCCAAGTATATCGAAAAGAAGTTTTAAAAAAATTCAATAGTCAGTCTTTTCAAAATATTGAAAATATTTCCTCAGAATATTGGCCCATTTAGTGCGAACCGGTCATAGTGCCAGTATAAACTAGTCTTTTTCAATTGTTTATCGGGTCAGTAAATTTTTGCCAAAGCTTGTCAGACTTCAAATCCTTCAAATGGCTGGAGCAGTATCCATCCGAATGAAGAAACCGGAGCTATGCCTACAGAAGAAATATCTTCAACCACTCCTCCTCACCTGGCCATTCTCAAGGCTTATTAACCAATAGTAATCTTAGCTATTGAATGACCTAATTTGACTACGACCTTTCGTAGCCAGTTGTAATTGTCTCTGTTATCTTTATGCACAAATATTTGTATTATTATCATTACTGTTGGTTAAACATCATTATTAATCTCATCTATACATGATTCATTCACTTCGCATACATCCCTCCTTATTACGTCTTACTAATATTTCACACAATAACGTTTTTCACAAAACATTTGGTCGAACTGTAATTGCACCGTTATTTCCCACACCCAATCTGACCCATATTTATTCTGATCATGGATCTTATATTTTCACCTAACATATAAGCAGATTCAAGTTGACACTCTGTCGGCGTCATATCAACATTAACAATTTTATTGAATTTTGTTTATCACAACCCCAAATTCACATGCTTTAAACGATGCACTCTACGCTTAACCTGTCCAAGTTTTCGGATTATTAATTTGGATATATATAGTTGTAGAACCTGAAGAGAATTTATTGAAAAGAATATTCTTCTTTCAAATATTAGTCTTTAATCTTCAAACGATTATCCTTATTTATCATAGGCTAAATATTTAAACGGACATACAATTAAAACAAGATATAAATAAACTTTTTAAGCAAAGATGGATAGTGACTAGTAGTGGAATTCTGGACGTGCGTTTCACCCTATTTGGAACTCGTCAGCTGGACGTACCTGCTAGCCACTATCCATCTTTGCTTAAAAAGCTTGTAACTTAAGGCACTATCGAGGCAATCTGCACAGGATATACATATGCCAACATGAGACTAATCAGTTGCTGTCTTAAATAACAATGCGAAGATACAAATAAAACAATATTAAGTAAAGATATAAATAAAGTTTAAAAAATACCCCTCCCCCCAAAAAAAGACTGATATTCTTACCCAACAAAAGAAATAGCAAAACCATAGTTGTATGATCAAACTTTTAAAATATTAAATAAAGTATTTTATATTTGAATAAATAATTTGATTGGTTATTGGTTACACACTAAACATGCTGCAATTTGATTGGCTATTAATATTTAATGATTTAACCAATGAAAAAAAAGATATATGAGCTATAATTTAAAATATTTTTATAGTTTCTATGCCACAAGAATGATTGGAAGTTTCTAGAAAATAATTTAACAAGAAAAGGTCCGCTTATAATAAGTAGCATAGGATATAGTGAATATGTAGTTAAATCGAAATTACTATAATTAAAATTATTATATTGGTTGAAATACCATCAAAATAAAGTGAATAATTTTGTGTATACAATTTTTTAAGACAAATAAATAGATTCGAGAACTCTGCGTACGGGATCGTGGATACGCACTGCTAAAGTGTCCGACAATAGGACGAAACGGCCATTCAGTGCTTCCAGGTTTTCAATGGTGGTCTAGTATTAATCGGTTCATGATCTCAATCAAGAATATGAGAATCTCCATAACCCCATACTGATAAAAACTGAAATAAGAAGTAAAAACCCATCCTTAAACTTCCGAGGTAGATAATTCTCAAGTAAATAAACATACTGATATCGAAACATGTCACCGATCATCTTTCCAAATAGAAGTAATTATTATCGAGCTATTTTTAATTAAAAAAAACTTTTGAAACTTTGTACGACTGAATCGATAAGTAAATATTTGCATTGACCACATAGTTACGCTTAAAATTTTTCGAATCAAGGACTTCAAATGTATCTAAGACATATTATTCGACGAGTATTAGTAACACAATCAAATTAACTACTATCCCTAACCAAAAGATTGGGTTTTACATCAACACTACTCATTCTCTATTTCTCACATATGTAATTAATGCTCTAAAGCATTTATGACTAAACACAAGCAACTTAGACATGTTTTTTAATTTGTTATTTCATATTTTATTCTCTCTCTCCCCTATCTTTATGACTACAGTAGACTATTTAACAGGGAACTCACTCACTCACTGCGTCCGTTGTATAACACTAGAATCATCCTACAAATGCTATGAAACAATAGAAATCTATTGTTTTTTTTTAAGGTTGTTTTGGTTAGACTCTATTTTATGGACGACCTTTGAACGACGCTAAAGTGATCATGAGAGTGTCTACCTACTTACTAGGGGTGAATGAGGATTATAAAGCAGTTTGAAGAATAAGGATCATGATGTACAGTTGATGGTTAAGGTTAGAAATTAGATTTAAAGTTTTCATAACGAACTGACAACAGCTAAAATTTCAAAACGCTTTTCAACCAAAAAGATGAATGAATGTCGCGGTAAAATCCAAGACCTGTTGTCTTAAATCTGATTGATTCGTCCATAGTCTTACCGGTTTTCTCAATATATCTGCTTGTGGATTATTAAAATTAATAAATTATTTCACTTGTTATCTGATGTTTATTTCTAATCGGCTGCTTGCATTATATTTTACCCATTGGTCATCATATTATAAATGAAGTGGCCGATAAAATATAATGAAATTCAAACTATTATTATTATGACTTCCAAAAATTATTTGCTTGAAATCATTTCCAGAGAATTTATTATGATCCTTATGAAAACAGGTTTTTAACAGTGGTCTAACAATGATCATGATCTCAATCGAAACTCAACAATCTCCACAGTTCTACACGAATGAAACAGAAGCCGTTACCAGTGGAGTTCAACCAGGTCTGTTGTGAGATAGGAACTCACTGAAGACAATGGTGTATGGTGGCGCAACTTCGTGGATTGGTTGAAGTTAGACATTAACACCGTTGGATTCCGGCTCAGTGGTCTAGTGGTTAAGTGCTCGCGCGCGAAGCCAGTAGGTCCTGGGTTCGAGCCCCGCGTGGTGCGGGATCGTGGATGCGTACTGCTGAGGAGTCCCATACTAGGATGAGACGGCCGTCCAGTGCTTCCAGGTTTTCAACGGTGGTCTAGCTTCAACTGATTCATGATTTCAATCTGTGAAATTTCTAAAATCTCCACAAAACCCATTCTGATAAAACAGTTTATGTCGATTTGTAGATTTTTTGCTGAGTTTAAAACCAGAACATCTGAGTTAAGTCGCTTAGCATTTCGATCTACACCATGTATGGATAAAATTTACGAAGAAATAATGTGAAAAGTCAACAACAACAAAAATACTTCGAAAAATTCGGGTCAAACTAATGAATATTATCGACAAATACTATAAAAGAAGTCACATATTCGTTATGGCATTCATTTAATGTACTTCTTTTTTTCTGACTACATATAAAGGTTGTGGCTTTTAATAACTACCTTAAATTTTTTATGGTTGAGATCATAAGTCAATTGAAGCTAGAACACCATGGACAACCTGGAAGCACTGGACGGACGTTTCGTTCTATTGTGGGACTCCTCAATAGTGTGCACTCATGATCCCGCCCCCCACGAGATCCGAATCCAGGACCTATCAGTCTCGCTCGCGAGCACTTAACCATTAGATCACTGAGCCGGACAGTATCTAACGGTGTTAATGTCTAAGTTCAACCAATCCACTATTGTCTTCAGTGAGTTGATATCTCACAACAGACTCGGTTGAACTCCATTGGTCATTGCTTCTCACTAGAACTTTAAGAAATACATCTTGAAGCCAGTCACTAGTGTGCATGTGTTGATTAATATCAGAAGGGGTGTTTTTGTGGATATTAATAGTTGAGATCATGATAACTCGTGATCTCAACTATTAAAAATTACTATAATATGCACACACAAAAAACAACAAATTAAAGCTAAACAATAGGGCGTTAAAGACAGTTTAACTGAATAATGAAGAATTGGTTACAAATATCGCTAAACTTAACGTTTTTAATTTTGACCATCATAGTTAGTCTAAATAAGTTACATGAAGAAATGTCTAAAAAAATTAATGATACATTTAATATAGGGTGTAAACAAATATGAAATAAAAATATTCACGTCATAACCATTATAAATTAGCCTTTTATAATCGGTTATGAAAAGACGTTTAGAGATGATTGAATAAATTGATGAAATACACTAAACCCTGTCTCCATGGTTATGGAGTAGGATCTTATGATTTGATTAGCAAAGTTTTGATTGTTGAACTAATAGAAAGAACAATAATAATCGATAGTTGATATGCTACTATACAGTTCGACTGAGTGATAGCAACTAATGAGACCGAATTATCGACATAAATCATTCAATGAACTATTATTAAATGACAATATATATTTTAGTAGAGTTTGTTCTCTGAGCTGGATGGTTCGATCGTGGAGCTTTCATCGTTCTTCTGAACGACATGATCACCACAAACTTCAGATAGAAGTGAAGTGTTCAAATTTCTCCATTTGTGTTTCACAGCTTGTTCTGTGCACCTCGATGTTGATTGATTCTTATTGACCTTAAATTTGTCATTGTTTACTTCTTTGTTTTGGTTATGTCTCCCATTGGTTTGAATTTTGTTCCTATATTTGTGCATGATTTTCCTGATTGGTTTATAAATTGGGTTGATTTCAATATGCTTGTTGATTGTTGTCTAAGATTTCCACATATTTCCAATCGAATGAGTGTCCGCAGTTGTTCACCTGTAGTGATATAACCATCCAGCTCAGAGAACAAAACTTCACCAAAATCATCCACCTGAGCTACAAATCTTCTCCACCATCTCACAAGATATATTCCCCGTGGAAGACGTATTTTCCCGATAAATTAACATGAAAATATATAAATTATCAACTAAAAAATAAACTTAAATATATCATAGGCAATTTTAAAACATTATTTACTTAAGTCACACAATTTCTTATCATGCCCATCATAACACTTAATTTATGGAACCATTTATGTTGAAACTCAACAGACGGCCACGAGTTCAACAGGTGATTAGGAAGGAAAAGATGTTAAAATGTAAGCATACTCAAATGAACCACTTGAATAATAGGAAAATAAATAAGAGTAATTAGACATTTGGAGTTGACAAATTTAATCAGATTTTAATGTTTGTCAATTATATGAATCTAGTTCAAACATGTTGATATGATATTGTAGGTTTTTTGTTTTCTCCATAACTTTTATAGACACAATATTCTTGAATTCAACCTTTTTCAACATACTTAGCATTACGTTTAATAAGTAAGTAGCGAGCAATGTCATATTTGTTTAGTCCTTTAGTGCTGATCAAATCCTATCTATCAAGTTGCAGTGTGACCCTAGTCTAGGTATTCAATACGAAAACCTATGTTTCATGTTAGCTGGCACTCAAGAAATAGGTATTCCTCCAGATTCGAATCAGCGTTATCCAGCTTCAGAAGCTGAGACATTACCACTGAGAGATTCAAGGGAAGATTGAACTCCTATAGGAATGAGACGTTAGTTAATAATCAACTAATTGTAAACTCATCGAAAAGAACCTACTCAGGGTCTTTACTCCAATTTTCCTTAGTATGAGGGAAGTACAAATCTCATTCTGGAAAAAATGATAAACAGCGCCAATGAATACAATGGTTACATTTCCCACACGACTATTATCAGCTTCATCCTATTCATACAAAATCTCAGTGTTTGTCTTAGCATCGTATGCTACGAGCTAACAAAAATCAAATTTATTGACTTATAAGTCGATTAATATTACTTTTGTTAAGTATATTTCGTTCAGCATTGTCTTCATTACACACATATGATAATATGAAGACTTATTGTGAAATCATTAACTTTGTAAATAGAGTATTATTTTGTTTACAAAATCATTTTGAAGCTTACTAGTGATTGACTTTGATTAAATTGTTATGCATATTGTGTGTAGACAATCAAGGAGTGCTTTATTAAGCAAGTCTATACTCTAACTAACAGATCTGATATTTTGTTGTTTGGACGAAGTGAATCGGTAGTGATAGTTTATCACATTTAGAAACATCAATGTAACAAATAGAATAATTAAATTCATTTGGTATTGCTTACTTCAAT